ATGAGGTCGCTCGCGGGTTGTACCACGAGACAGACAAGAAAATGAGGCGGAATGGCGCAGGGGCGGCGCTGGAGGCGGTGGTTGGCCATTCCTTGTCATGGCTGCCATCTGCAATATATCGTATTGTGGAAGTTCCTCTTGCTGGGAGCGACAAGACACGACCAGCCACATCAGTAGAGCTGAAGTCGCCTGTAGCTCCGGGGCGACTGTTGCATGGTGTTGCTACACTCTTACTGCTAGCTGTTAAACAAGGTGCGGGAGGCTGGGATCTGTAACACGGGCGTGACAGCAGACATAAGCGGGGAGAAGGTGTGCTTTACAACTTGTACAAACTAAAGAAACAATAAACAGTATCACAAAAGACAGTTTAATATGGCGCCAGGAAGGAAGGGTTTAGATGCGCGACAGACAACCCAGCAAATGACAGGAAATAAATCGAGAAGCTGGAATAATAGCATGCATCTGGGCATCAGCAAGAAGCAAGGTTCATGAAGGCCGTTTTGTCTACTTGTAAGGAACTACAGTTAACGTCGTTCCACTCACAGACGACGGTGAATTGGTAAAGATTTGGTAGGACCGGACAAGTTTCACTGTTAAACATTGTAGATACTGCAGCAGTTGGCCACTGCACTAAAAAAAACACATAACTGCCCGCGGGGAATGTTCAGTCAGGAAAATAGGCCGTCGGATTATCTAACAGTGGATATTCAATAATTCGTAGCGTTCTGAAGTTTAGCTGCTGTTCCTTTATTTTGAATATAATAATGGTTTAATGACTTCTGCATGAGAAAGTACATTCCATGTAACCACATTTAAATTCACTACAGTTCTCTGGTGAAATGGACTGGATTCAGTGGATGTCTGAAGTCATTATAATTCAAATCAGTAGAGACAGAAGGGGGGGAGCATTCCTGATCATTGGTATTGATCTGTTGCATCGACCTTTTTGAAACATGCATGCATCGTCTCCTTCAAGATTCACTTTCTCTGCATTTTGCACACAGAGCGTATTTATGAGTTTCGTATGATTTTGAGGTGGAGAAAACAGTTATTTCCCTAAACAACTTGAACGCATTTACTTCTGTAACGGAGACACGTGTCTTCGTTGAGGTAAGAGCTGAATTTTTAATGGAGATTTAGTATCGTACTGATGTGTTCTATGTTTGGAATAGTTTACAGAATTACTGTACTATAAAACTCGGTATAACCGTCCTGATAATCCTTATGAGACTGAATTTATGACACAAATATTGGACACATGTATTAACATTGTGCACAGTGCGTGCACTGGTGAATGGTGAAGCGTTAATATGATAATTTAACGGGAACTTTGTGCATGCAGGTTCAGTTGCACTGTATGGAGCACTGAAAGGAAAATCTAGTCACGGAAAGTTGCAGGTCCACATCCTACGCAGACGGGACCCGGTTTATGACGAAACCACCACACAGCTGAAGACTTGCACTGTCCCGATCAGCTTCTTCTTATACCTCACTTAACTAGCGATTATGTAAATTTATACAAACAGTGCTTCATAACGTCAAAATATAACGATTCATAAGGTTAAATGTGAACTTCTCTTCTCATCTAAAGCATGTTTGGTTTTAAGCAAACGTAAAGTTATTCCTACCACAGAATGAAGAGGTGTGGGGGTGTTGTGATGAACCTTCACGCGTATTAGGCATAAGAACTGTTTGGGAATAGGTGGTCAGTTTCACTCTCTGGCCACGTTATAAGAACCTCTCATTTGGCCACGCGTATTAGGCATAAGAACTGTTCGGGAATAGGTGGTCAGTTTCACTCTCCGGCCACGTTATAAGAACCTCTCATTTGGAAAAGAAAATGAGTAGATCTTAAAAACGAGAATATAACCGAGGTCGTCCTGACCACAATGTCATTGTACTAACTCACGTATCTGGCCCTTACTTATCTCTTACGGTGATACTTTATATCACAAAAATATCAGTCTAAATATCATTACGGTACAGGTCGACGACCCTTATACTTCCCTCATTCAATGCATTTACGGATAGCAACTTACTGGTTATTTGTTTCGCTGTAAAGTTTCTTGCACAGATATGATGCGTCAGTAGTCTGCGCCTACAACAGTGCACAGTATCTTATTCGGCGGAATCTCATCGCTGGAAGTCTCTACCTTTTAATTACGATGACGTGCACATGATGAAATGAACGTACGTGTAATATACGTGATATGTATGTAAACAAGAACTGACTGACTTAAAATCATTAATATTTTGTACAGTTATAAAATGATAAAGATCAGATATTAGAAAATAAATGAAGAAGAAGCGATGAACTTTGTTTTCTCATTGACAGCATGCTAACCCTAGTGCTGTGTATGCAAATAGCAAGCGTTTCTTGAACCCCGCGAACAAACTGTGCAGGCAAGTCTTACGACTCCATACATTACGGGTCCTGTGACACCTTGCACTCATGTACAGGTTTCCATAGCAACTAGGTCGAGTACTTGTTACTGTGAGCTGAGTAAAGGAATGCGGTTAACTATTTATCAACATGGCGGAAAAAGTTTCATTATACAAACTGCATACTTC